TATATATATATACCTATAATATATTTGGAATCAAACACTCATGTACTATTAGTATAAGGTGCCAAATAAAATTGTATTGTATATTGTACCCTACCCCAGACTAAAACTAAGAATTATATACCCTATCCCAGACTAAAAGACGGAAAATACGGTTTTACAATCGATTGCAATCAATATTTACTAACATTTTTATTGTTTTTGTGCCGGCAGAAATCATAGCCTATTCTCCAGACAAAAACGACCAAACCGGTAACCCTATCCCAGAGTAAAATGACACCCTATCCCAGACAAAATGTCAAAAAATGATACCCTACCCCAGACCCAAAAGCCGAAAAACCATACCCTAAAGGGCGGCACAAACCCGTATAGCAAATATAGGGGAGTACCCCCCCCCCCCCGGGAATTTTTTGAATATTTTATGATTAATTTTGTTGTGTTGACTGTGACAATGATTGTTGCATGAGTGAGATTGTTGTTGCTGATTTTGATCACTTTTCGAGCTCTTGAATTTTGCACCATTTGTTCCGGCCAAWATAAATATATATAAATGTGTAAATAAATACAAGAGGACGCATTAAGAGAGAAGCCGGGGGAGGGGACCTCCCATTCGTCGTGGCAACAAAATGGCGACTTTTTAGACTTAATACGGTAATGCCGATTTAAAAAAACCTAAGGCGTTTTTAGAAGGGTGGGGGACAACGCAATTGGTCATTACCGCGCTATTTGAGAAAATAATGTAAAATACTTCGGGATTCTTATAGACTATTAGACTTTCTTTGCAATCTCGCACGGTGCTGACAAAGAGGAACGTGGGCTCTGGCTACGAGATCTTTGTGGTATTTCAACCGTCCCCCTCCCCCCGAACCTCTTTATTTGACAAGATGGAGGATCTAGCAAGTCCTGTTCAAGGTCTTCAGAAACAGTCCTACGTTCCTCGTCCTCCTGCAACACTTTATTATCATGAATCAATGAAACCTCTTGCACAAAGCATCGCTGAGAGATGTAGTCAGCCATCAGTGTGGCCCAAGGTCGCTGAAGTACGAAAAACTGCCGAATATTGATGCTTTTCCTGTTCGTAGATCCGTCACTTTCGCTTTCATTTTCATTCAAACAAAAAGCATTAATGCATTTTTCCATTATCTTAGTCGATTATAATTAATTGCTTACCAATCGCACAATTTGGGTTTTGTTGGACGTCATTCAAGGCGTTTCCATGACATTCCATAGCAACTTTGCCTTGAAAACTTTGAGTTTTCCCACAATGACATGGAAGCAAATATTATTCATTTTTTAATCATCTATCCTTTCATCTGTTGATTGATCAATTCATTCGTTCCTTCATCTTTTTCTGTTTAAGGGCCAGTTTGTTCAGTGTGTTAAGATGGTGCACATTGATTGGGACAAGTTTCCAGATGGCTGGCCTAACTTGAACATTCAAAATTTAAAACAGGATTGTGCTGGGAAAGATGGTGCGTTTATATATCATGTCACTTTAGAACTCTTCCATCTAACCAATAAATAAGACGAGTTTTTTTGAGCTTATTTATTCGCTGATTGGCCCCTAGATTGCATGTTGTGAGCTCAATGTTGGGTATTGTCAATGAATTGTTGTACAAATGTACTGAAACTCCATTTTTTATCAACTAATTTTTTGACTTGATTTGATTCCTTGGCCAATTATCATGATTGTTACAGACTTTGACTTGTCAAACATCATTCTCCACTTTAAACATCATCACTTACTTCATTCTTAACTTAATCATCCAGAAATAAGTTAATCAATAGTACATCGTTTCAATTTCTTTCATGTACCATAACTGGCATGCAATCGCTAGATCTATTGGATCATTAGGAATAACTATAGAATACGCTGCTAAAGCCTTCCCAATCCTAACCCTAAACCTAACCCCAAGGTACTCGATTGTTTATTCCTATAACAAACGTGTAGGCACGTAGGCAGCCCACTATAATACTTTTCCTTGCGGGGTATTCTATGGTTGTACCGATCATTACAAGTTTATCATATTATTTTTATATTTCTCATTCCAGTCATTTTTCTTGGCAGTTTTCATTCTCCAGAAGTTGTTTTTGAAGAACTCTCAGTCTTGTACAAAATACCAAGGTATGAAATGGCGAATGTATCAAATCAAATTAAATCAAAAAATTTATTTAAACATGGAAAAAATCATCAGTCAAAAATATCTAATACCCCATTCACACCTAAACATGTTTAGTTAAACTATGTTTTCATTAGGAAAAAAATTGAGAAACTAGAAACCTACGATATAGTGAAACTTTCTGAAATATTGTCAGAGCAAGACTGAGGATAGTTTACATGCATTATTTCACCAAATATTGTGCAGTGTTCGTAGATAGTTTTCCAAACCTGTTYAGTTAAACCACTTTAAAACATGTTTAAGCCTTGGTGTGAATGGGGTATAAGACCGTTACTGTTTTACATGATTGCCGTGTGGGAATCTGAAGTTTCGAAAGAAACCTGGTTCAATTTCTTTTTGAAGCTAGCTAACCAGCTGAGCGATGAAGGCAGTGGTCAAAACAAGAGTGGACAAAATGACCAGCCCTCAGCATTTTTGGAGCTTTAAAGAACAAAGCAAACATTATCTTTTATACATCATCAGTAGTTTAGTGTACATACCTTTATTAAAAACTTGGTTACACCACATGACAGGTGAATTAGCCTGCATGCTGAAGCACGGCATTAAATGTACTTCATTAATAAGGTTTAATAATGGATATATTTGCTTTGTTTCTTCGTATATATAGATCTCTTGCTAGGTCATTTACATTCATTCTTCCTTATTTTCCTACTGGGACCATGGAGCGGGAGGACACAGAAGGCCAGATTGCAACTGCAAAGGTATTTCAATAAAACCATCCCTGTGCACAAAAAAAAAAGTTTTTTATTACAGCCATTCTCAGTCACGCACCCTCTAGCGATTATTTTTGTCACGACAAGGTAGATTTTGGTGGATGTCAATCAAAGCATTTCCATGACATTCTATAGGCACGTGCCCTTATAGCTTTGTGTTTTCCGACAATGCTATGGAAACGCTTTGTGATTGACGTCCACCAAAGCCTTCTTTGTCGCGACAGAAAAAATCACAAGAGGGCGCGTGTGATATGAGAATGGCTGTAATCTGTAACTAGAGTTTATACAGCAGTGGAAGCCTTAACATTGTCATTGTTTTGTTTTTTTTATGTTTAACACTTTTTCATTTTCATCTTTTTTATTTTGCTATGTCATTTGTTAATCCAAAGTGAGTCTCATTTTAACCTTTTCCGCTTCTCCATTTTTTCTTATGTTGTTCAGACCCTGGCCACTCTGCTGTCTGCCATCCCTCTAACAGCAAGAGGACCATCACAGATTGTCATTTTTGACATTCATGCTTTGCAGGAGAGGTTTTATTTTGGTGACAATGTTATACCAAGGTAAGAAAATTGTGAATGCAAGTTTTGAATACATTATATTTATTTTATCATAAGAGTTTATTTAGTTTATTAACTTAAGGTATGACAATATGGGCAACAAAATATCCTGCAACTTGTCATGCAGCATTGTTGCATTTCAAGTTGTACTGAGCAATTGCTGTTCATATTGCCACTCAGCACACAACAAATTTTTGCAAAGTGGAAGTGCCTCAGTCAGACAGATTCCCCCCTCCCTTCTTTTTCTGCCCATATCTGCTTATTGCTGAGCTTCTTCTAAATCCTTATTACAGGACCATTTTGGTAACTTATTTATTTCTGTCCCTTAATTATGGTTCAGGTGTATTGATCCCATTCATGGTGGCGTAAGTGTTATGACAAATTAAAAATATCTCAACATTCCACTCAGTTTAATACTCTCAGTTTAAAATTGACTGTTGACTGTGTCTGCAAGTCTATGTTTTGTTGTTCTTATTGTAATTTGGCCTGGAAAGCCCTTTTGGGAGTCCAATAAAGTGTATGTAGTATGTATGTTGGCCTTCGACCCATACAGTTTTGAGATTTACATACAGATATACTTAATGTGTGGTGCCTGACTTTATTTGATCTCAAGGCTGGAGTCTGCAATTCCTCTGCTGATGAGAGAGTTAAAGAAATTGAATGACAACCTGAGCATAGCATTTCCAGATGAGGGAGCATTTAAAAGATTTCACACCATGTTTACAGCCTTCCCAAATATCACATGTATCAAGATACGTAATGGTAACACAAGATCTGTCGAAGTTAAGGAAGGTATGTGGTATTGTACAGGGGCAGATCCAAGAACTTGTTAGGGGGTGTCTGGTGCACTTAAGGATGCACCCCTGTTGTAATTGGCTCCCATGCAATTCTGAGTTTTTGGTGAGGGCACCATATCTTCTTAATCTAAAATCTAAAATCTAATTGGATTTACCACTCCACGGTGGACAGAAAGCCTAACAGTATTTGTAACCCACTTATGAGACTTCTTGATAGAATTTAGAAGTTGATTTTTGTGAAGGCAGGAAAAGACTGGGAAAACTAGAGAAAAACCCTCAAAGGACAGGAGAGAACAATCAGGAAAAAACCAACAAATAACTTTGCTGATAATCACATATGACACAAAGTCTGGGAAATCCAGCCTGTCAGTAAAGTATATATATAGGTTCATGGGTTTCTTGAAGTTTGTCGTGGTCATAATTGATAACTTTTGGTGTATATGTTTGATAGGTGATCCAAAAGACCATCATGTGGTGATTATTGATGATCTGGTTATGACTGGAGGTACCCTCATACAGTGTGCAAAGGTAAGCATAAGTAAGAGCAGTTGATGGATAATTAGTGCATGTATTTTAATTTTTTTTGCGCACTAGGGAAAGGGGTTCTAAGCACTAAAATAGTGAAAAAGCATAGAATGTGCATGCTTCAGCTATTTTTTTCCTGTATGCATTATATCATGGCAATAATTATGTTGTTTTCATTAAATAATTTCCATGGCTTCAAAGCGAAATTAAAAGAGTCAAAAGTGTAAGCAACTATAAAAACCTTAAAGATTCATTCTCAAATATTTAAATACGAGGCTATGCATGGTGGAATCCATTTTTCAAACCAATATGGCTGCCATGTAAAAAAAGGCCCATTAACTTGAAGTAGCATTCTCTCGGACTTGGCCCACGGCCTGTGGATCTGCGTGGATATCTTGAACGTTTTCCCTGGTCCCCCAGGAGATAATGGGACAACACTGTAGTTAACTTTTGTTTTACAATAAAAACAAGATAAGGCAGGTTTGGTGAACATGGTAAAAACAATGAAAACTCTATGGATACCAGGCTTAACCAAGGGTAGGATTGGGGTGTGGCTCATTACTAATTGATCAATCATAACCGACAGTATACGTTAGCCAGAGGAATAAGGGTTTAAGGCTAACTTGCATGTTTTGTGTCTCCTCAGGCTCTCGAAGCTGCAGGAGCATCCAAGATCAGTGCATACGTCACACATGCTGTCTTCCCTAAACAGTCTTGGAAGAAATTCACTGAATGCGATGTACCTTTTGAGAAGTTCTACATAACAGATTCTCTTCCCCATTCTACAGAAATTGCCAAAGAAGCTCCCTTTGAGCTGCTTTCTCTTTGTGATGTCATTTCTGATACGCTTTTGGGTTTTGACCTTTTGCAAACTTAAGATCCATTGTATCCTCAGGAAACCTCCTTAGGGCTTATATTATCCTTATTTCAATAAAGTTACCAAATACCTAGAAAGATAACATTAAGATCACTGAGGATCATGCAAAAATTTTCATTTCAAACAATTAAAGCTTTTTTGATAAAAACTGCAGCTTAAGGATGCTCAGAATAGGTGAGGATGTAAATGGTAGAAGATGTGCAAGTCCATCAACAGTTACTAAGCTGAATCCTTGTTGGTATTAGCTTGTAGCTTTTTAGGTGATTGCCTTTATTGAAATGAGTATATATCTATATATAATTTTTAAAAAACACCAAATTAGCCCTATTGTCTCTAAGGATCAAATTAGATTTTAGTAGTTGATTTATGTGGAGGGAGAAAAACTGGAGAACCTGGAGAAAACCCCTCCACAGGAGAGAAACAAAAAACAACTCAACTCACATACGACACAGAGCTCAGTGAGGCTCAAACCCGGGCTGCCTTGGTGAGAAGTGAGCGTTCTCATCCCTATGCCATAAGGACGCTAAGGCTACAAATCAATCCTCAAAAATGACTTTAGAAAACTTTTATGATGAAATGAATGAAGGTTTATGTGCCATAATCAAGTGAAATAATATTACATACTCCCAGTTCTATTCATTTCATAATGAAATATGTAAGTATAGCCCGGGGAGGGGGGGAGGGGTACTCTTGCATGTTTAGGGTAGGGATGTGCCGCTGAGCCCACTGAACTCTGACCCTGTTCCAGAGTAAAATCGCTGAAATTCATACCCTGTTCCAGAGCAAGACTGCTGAAAATCATAACCTGTTCCGGTATTGCAAAAATGGATACCCTGTTCCAGAGAGGAGAGAGCATGATTTCATATGCCCTGTCCCAGTGCGAGCATGATTTAACCACTGTTTAAACTCTCATTTCCCATTCCCATTTAGGTAATTTAAAATGACAGCTGTCATCAGGTTTGTTGAGATAAAAGCAAAACAAGTTTAGAGTTGGAGAAAATTCAGTTCAACAAGCAACATGCATTATGGGTCAGAGTAGGTTAGGTCACAGAAACATGAAAAGTGCTGTAAATAAAATAATGAATTTTTAATAGAAAAGTGTGCAGGATGCATGGTTTAAATACTTAGTTATAATAATACATAGTTGCCCTTCAAAAATGATAGGTTGTGACAATGGACCTTTATCTCATGAGAATAAAAACCTTTGTTTAACCTGCATTAATTCATTCTCAAGTACTTGAATGCAAGGCTACATGTGGTGGAATGGGTCGGTGTCCACTGGTAAAACAAAGCTTGGGATTGGACAAAATAACAAAAACAAAGAAAGCATGGATTATGGTGAACAATGTGTATTGTTCTACATGTGAGCTGCGTTCTTTGTTTTATCTCACCATTCATTGTTTGTTCATCCACTCCCAGGCTTCGTTTTGCTGGTTGTGGATTATCTGGTGGAATCTATTGTTTGAACCAACATGGCTGACGTGTGAAAAAGGCCATGGAGAATTTGTCAATATTGGCCATCTTGGATAGAAAGGCATTATGGACATCCAGAGGGCAAAAAAAGCTTTGTTACAGCAATGATGTTAATTGATATTAACAGATCACCACAAGAGAATAAAATAAAAGATTAATTAAGCTAGCACATTGATCAATTTTACCTATAAAAGAAAGCCAAACACACAAAACTCTATATATTTTCCGTCACCTTTTTGTGGATGGCTGCCGTATGGTCAAAGTAGTCCAAAGAAATGATCAAAGGCAAGGTTATAGCATTGAACAAAAACAAATGAAAACAGCAAGACCATTATGCAGGCAATATTTTTGATTTATTGATAAACTTTTCAGAGCAATGAATTCAAGTGAGCTTAAAATATATTACAACCTCCAATCTATATATATATATTAATTTACAGATAAATTCATTAAGAAAGACATACCATAACTCCTCTATTTAGCCCCCTTCTCTTATAAGTACCCCTCCCCTTAAAGTAATAATCATAACACTGCTTGTGCACTGATTAAACTACTGTGATTTATTCACATCTTGGAAATTAAGATCAATATCTGTTATTACAGCTACATGTAGATGAGTTGCAAATGACTAGTAATGCATTGAATCAACCTTATAGCCTTGCTTGAATGATCTTTATTAAAAAAAAGGTTTCCTCACTGCAGAGTCGAGAGTGGAGTTAACATTACCTCATATGACTTTTACTCTTGAATTGCCCTATTTCATAATGACATCACACGGTTTGTTTACATTGACTAAAATGATATAAATTTACGCTAAATTTAAGCTTAATACTTTTCTTTCGAGATATTTAGCGTAATATTTAGTTGTTCGTGCCTTCACCATCTCATAAACCAAATGATTTAAGATGTGTTGTTGTCATTCCATCCCCCTCCAGCGACCATGATCCCTAGTGTTAAACTCAATAGTTTGATTTGATATGACGTCATTATGAAAAAGGGTAATATTAGTACACTTTGTTTCATGGTTTCTATGTTTTGCTAAATTTGTAAACCTCCCTTCAAAAATTTCCACCTCACCCCCCCCCCCCCCCCACCTCAAACATGTCTGAAATAAATAAGCCCCACAGGGGGTGTGAATAGAGGACTTATGGTACATCGGCCTAGAATTAAGACCTTGATTATCAGATTCCAATGAAAATAACTTGGAGAATTTTACATAGTAGTTACTACCTACAGTGTGTTTTTATGCATTTTATAGGGCAAAATGATAGTTACCTCCAATGGAAAATGAAATTTCTTTTCATAAAAAAACTTTGCATTATTCCTGCCCTTTAACATGGCTGCTGTTTAAACCCCATCCCTTGCTGGTAGAGTGCAAACAATTAATCCATGAAACACTAATTACTAAATAGTACAAAATAGTGCTAAATAAACAATAGAAAACAATGGAATTTGCATGAAATTGTGCTATTTAGTATTACTAAAGTTTCACGAATCATTATATTGTTTGCACTCTATTATGAGCTAATAATTTGAAAAATTATCGAAAATATATGACCAGCATTTCCCTTCATGTGCAAATAGAAGCTTAAGTTCAAAGAACATTTTATAGTGTTAGGGCACATTTGCAAAAGTATGACATACTTTTGCATGGGTTCTGTACGTTAAACTAACACATTTCTATGCAAAGCTGGCTAGTTTTACCAAATAAAGTGTCCAAACGCTTGTTTGGCAGCAAAAAGCCTGTACATTCATAAAAGTATTTGAATACATTAGATGTGGTCATAGTTTTGCATGTTGCCCAGTAACACTGTTAGCAATTTTTAAAATTAATATTGAAACTTCCTGTTTGTCAGTGTTAACAAAATATCCTTGTGAATAAGCTGTCTCCCATTAATATTCTTTGTCTTTATTTTATAAATTATTATTCTCATATTTTCTTTCTTTCTTTTATAAATTACTACCTGAAAAAATAAAAAGAGTACAGATAAGAGAAAGCTAAAAAAATCTTAGAATGTCAGTCGAGACAGAAAATTCTGTTCTTCTCAATACTCTAGTTTCAAGATCTTTGTTCAGCCTTGGTGTCAGTGTCGGTTGTGTGTTATGACATTCAGCCATCCGACCGAAACCTGTCACATTTTAATCAACTATAAATTATTGTTGCATAGATTTTATACTCCTTACTACACACTAGACCTTGACAAAAGAAAAGAACACATTTGTAGATAATCTAGGCTAAGACTGAGCAAAAGCAAACTCGAAATTGAAGTATTTTACTACTAACAGAATCTTTTTTGAATTTTCTTGTTCAAATGTTTTACTTCTTTTGACAATCATACAGTCATACAATATTTCACTTAGTAATTTCTATCTTTCGTCATACCATTGTTCTATTGTTCATGTTGAAATGTATTCACAAGATAATGGTGTTAATTGGGCTAACAAAAAGGGGCTATGAAAAGGATTCTGGTAATAATAATATCAAGGTCTATAAGGTACGTAACAAAGGGAATAATAGAGATCTTGTCCCTCCCTTCAAGATAGGTACTATTGTGGCACATGCACTATAGACCCCTAGCAGCACTTTGGAATGCAGCTCAATCTGGGGGACAAAACAATAGGTTCCAATTCTCATGAGATTGGAATAGTTTTGTTTTGTCCCCCAGATAGAGCAACTTTGACGTCACATGCAAGGGGTCTTTTCCACCACCTTAAGTTACCGTAATGTATTGTACAGATAGTGGAAAAGGCATTTCCAGCAGCTGAGAATTAATGAATCAATCAACCATACTCAATCATCATAGACAAATGTCGATTAATTATATTCATGTAGGGTCCATTGACTCAGGACTCATTCAATGGAATGCCTTTCCCTCAGAGGTTTTATTTTATGGATGAGCATGTCAAACATAATTTACCTAATGTAAGTGATTCCTTGAGGTGAATGAGCACTAGCTACTGCCAGCAGCAGCACGATGTCACTGTCATCAATCCTACCATACACAACAACATTCATTTGATTACATTCAAGTCCATGCAATGGTATTAAAATTTATAGTACAATAAATGTATTATGCTTCTGGAGGAATGGTGTTGTGCCTCAATATCACATCCAATGGGTGTTTTACCAAAGCTACAGCGTAATGTGACATTGCTATCTTCTTAAAGATTTGAGCACACAACAAAGGCGTAACTCTGTTGGTTAGATCCTCAGAATCTCAGGATCTCCATGTCCAGCTACTAGCTGATGTAATACTGACTTTAAATAAGTCCTTTTATTTACTGACTTACTCTAGGGTATGAGCCAGCTCATATTGACTGATTGATTTCTTACGATTCCAAAGCCACTCTGCTATTACCTGAAAAAATGAGATTATTCATAAAACATTAAAAAGACAATTCTGTAAATATTATAAGGCTTGGAGATAACATTCTTATATAGTAGATCTTAATAATTTTAATGATATAATCCCTGTCTAGTACTGTCACCACCACTACACAATCATCACCATTACCACCACCATGATTATAAACACCTCTACTATGATCACCACCATCATCATCATGCAATGTCATCATTAACATCAACAGGGTAGAATAACTGCAATCATTATCATCACCAATATTACTACAATCACCCCTGCCACTGTCATTGTCACCATCAACAGAAGATATTCAAGATATTTACTTACCCTGCTCTTCAGATAGATCTCTTTCAATCTGTCTTCAAGATGCATTAGACACTAAGAGGTAAACAAAACAAACATAATTGAATGTAAAATGGATGACAAAAAAGTGTGAAATATAATAATGATAATAATTTAGATTCTTATATAGTGCACTATACTGACATTTCAGTGAGCTCAAAACACAAAATGGCATGAATGAATGAATGGATGGAAAAAAAAACAATATATGAAATTGAAATTAAAACATAAAAATATGTCATATTCTTCTTTACTTACAAATTCAGCAGGCATTTTAACATCCCACATTCCACTAACTGATGTTAGCATAGTTAGCACTAGGTTAGATCCATCAATTGTTTGCACTTGAGTTGATTCACTAAAAGAGAAAATAAGGTTGGTTTTATTGATGGAACCTCTACATGGTGACTTGCAGTCATAATGTATGATTCCAATGATTCCAATGAGGGGACTCCCAGTCCATTGAGAGTCAAATATGCACTCTTTAGTCATGTATATGCTTCCCGTGATTGGAGGGGTTCTCATTAGCAAAGACTTCAAAGTCACTAGTGATCGGACACGGTGAATAACAACCTTTACTTGATGCAGGTTCTAAACTTTTCAGTCCTTCAATTTCTTGAGTGTGGTCACACTTGCAAAACTTAGCTAGTTAAATTTTTTGTCTCCCTCTTAATACAAAACTTTACACGCATTTTGCGAGTTTGCGAGCATTAATTTCATGCCCGATGATTTGGGGGAGGGTGGGATTCCCAGACATCTGAAGACTCAAATGCACTCTTTAGTCATTTGAACTCTTCCCATGATTGGAAGGGATTCCCGGAATACTAAATGAATAATTCAACAGGGATTCCATTAAATAAGCATGTAACTAGGATTTTTTTCATTAATTTCAAGGGATAGTTTGGATACTGTTTAGATTATTATCAAAACGTTTTGAGGTATTTACCTTGATCTGAGTTTTCCTTTCTTTGCTGATATCAGTTCACAGGTCCTTGAGTGGAGAATAAAAATAATCAATATTATTAGCATATAATACTGAGAATAATATTATATCAATTATAATATTCTATTATGTCATTATATTAGGCCTAAAAATTTATTCTTACCAATTGTCAGTGTCAGCAACAATACATACAGCATCATTAAGGGCATCATCGACAACAGAATGCTGAAATAAATAAATTTTAAAACCTTAACTTAAGAAAAGCTTTCAGCAAATGTTTGACAAAATTAATTGCTGGTCAAAGTATGCTCCATTGATTGGAATTTTTGTAAACATTTTTAAGCTTCCATTTTCAAGAAATATTCCAAAGTGGATATACTGTATAACCTCATAAATCTACACAATTCCTGACCCTTAAGGGGCAGGTCCACCTTCTGTTTGATATTATTGTTTGTAACTATGTCTTAACACCTTAAATTTATTAAGCCCTGAAACATTCAGTGTGCTGATCTAAATCTGGGCATTGTTGATTCACTGTATAATAAATAATTGGAATTTTGAGTGTCGGATTTGCAGAGGAATACTAGAGAGCACATAGAAAACAAGATCAAGTCAAGCAAGAGACCCAACAAATTCCAATGTTGCATGCATAATCTCCAGAACCAAAGCTCTATTGCTGCACCCACTTGTAAGGTATATTACCTGTAATGCCATGCACAAGTCATTTGACAGACTGGGTAGGATTTCTTGCTTGTTACAAGTGACACCCTGAAGGACAAAGTCTGGATGATATGTTTCACCAACCCTGAAGGAATAAATCAATACCAATTTTATAAACAGTAAGAGTAAGAGGATATCAATCAAGCACAAGCTTGGCATTCACTTTTGCAGTTTTTGATAATGATAGTAATAACAAATGGATTATATTCTGAGCACTATCAAAATTGTACAATAGACCATTTCACAGATCCCGCGGCTCAACCTCAGCCTCGTCTGCGTGTAATATATTCTTTAGAAATTGCCTACAACCTGTGAAATTTTTAAGTGTTTCAATTGTTCGTTGATGTGTAAATTCCTTTCATTACTGCGGACTGTAGTCAAATTCTAAAGAATAATTACACGCTGACGAGGCTGAGGTTGAGTACAAGAACCGTGAAATGGCCTATTGACCTTTCCTGAATTTGCTTCATTGATCACGAAACAATGGTTTGAAGTTGAGGTTAAACTTGATGAATAAAATAATCAAGTTGTCTGACTTCAAACCAGTTTCGTGGTCATCCAAGCAAATTCAAGAATGGTATACACTGTAAAGATTATAATTATGGTTTCTCCATCAAACCATAAGTCATTCCCCAGAGGTTTTTATTTTTCTTAACTTTATTAAACAATTTTGTGCATTCTATTCTCATTACAAAAAAGTACAATGGCTACAATTTAATCACAAGTAATAATAGGCATCCGCATGGGATTTTTCAGAGATGATGCAATGAGAAAAAAGTCCAAAACTTTTAATTTTTTGTGTAGACTTACCCTGCAAAAAGTGAACGACCAAAGTTGTTTGACTTTCTCCATTCATCTGGTTTTCTGTGATCACCATCTTTACTTGATCCATCTACAAGTCTGAAATAAAATACAAAACTCGATCATTAGTCACAGTTTTTAGAATTTTTTTTTTTTAAATGACCTTTTCACATTTCTGTCTACATCTGCACAACACTATGACATTTACTCATCATACCTTTACACGTGGCTGCCTCTTCGGTGAGCTTTATGGCTCTTGGGGCAAACCATCAAAATTAAAGGTCTAAATAACAACACAAAACAGAGTTGAAAAATATTAAAAACAAAAAACTGCACCTACCCTGGTAGTGGTAGTTCTTCTGGACCAAACTCATCTTCATCTTCTAGTGTATCTAGACTCAAATATTCTTCTAGCTCCATTTTACTTTTGGTGCTACATGACGGTGTCCCTGGATGAAAACCTGAATCTAGAGAACCACTGCGAGCAGACGAATCATTGGATTCAACATCATTTTGTTCTGAGCTGTCCTGCTCTAAGTCCATTTCCAAGCAACTTGTATTGTCCTTTGGTGTAAAACATTTGCATTCTAGTTTAGAGCAAAACTGGTCATGAAGTAAAAGCTGCAGGAATATGATATCAAGTTCAATACTTTTTTGCAAGTTTGTATTCAAGCCATTTTTCGTAGTAGAACAAAGACTACATCTAGAATCACCAGTACAATAACACTTAAAGGTTGAGGTACTTTCTTCTGTCTTTTCTTTCTTCTCACAACAATAGCATTTGAATGTCTCACTTCGCTCCAAATAACTTAAATCATCTAGAAAATGCTGAAGTCCCTTAGCTGATGTCCATTTTGGCAGACATGTCCCACATGTGCCCGACATACTATTTACACGAAATATTTCTTCAATGTTTTCATTTCTTTGCAACAGTCCACAATCTGAACAGCATGGAAGACCTTGTAATAATGTTCTTGACAGCTGGGAAGATTGCAAGGATATATTTTCATCTAATTCCTTTGGTATCAATTTTTGACAATTTGAACAAATTGATAGTCCACTTTTCTCAATACATGGATTGCAAATACTGTGCTTATGACAGGGTTCATCTTCATTTTGCCTACAAAGACAACAGTTTTCTACTTCTGTGAAATCTGAATGAGAAAAATCATGCTCTGGTAAGTCTACTCTTTCTGGAGTATGTTCAAAGACTTCTGTACATCGAATGAAGTAACTGAGAATTTGAAGCACTTGACCAACAAGTTTGGCATTTTTCCCTACAACAACAGTTCTTGCTAGTTTTAATGGGTAACCTATTGCACCATAAAGATCGCTGTGGAGTCAAGCACAATTGGAAAAATGAAAACTCAAGGAAACATCCCTTTCGCTGTTCAACAGCACATGAAATAAATATTGTGAGCACTTGAAATTCTTTCCATTTCAGACCCCATCATTATGTTGGGAACAAGAATATTAGTGTACTATGCACCAGCATAACTGGAAAAAATAGAAAAGTCACTCCAAGGGAATGACATCTGGTCTGAAGTGGGAAATGTTCATGCCCAATCAATCAATCTATTGAAAATTAAAGGTTCGAGCTCATTTGCACCAGACATTTTTATTACTGGTTTCTTTAGCCTAATAAAACCAACTAGGATTGGATGCTTGTTATACAGTAGGTTACCCCCAGTGCCATGTCAGGTAGGAAAGAATCTCCATGCTATTACTTAAAAGCATAATAAAATGATTGGTTGCTTTGCTGATAGTTTTAAAGTAAATAATTTAAGAAAACTAACACTGTTACACAATGTTCCCATGTGACTGTCACTGTAAATCAGTTTCACATGATAATGTCACTGACATTAAAACATTGTGTAACAGCCTTAGTTTTGTTACCTACTTTAAAATGATCAGTACTGTATAATAATATGTAGTACATACAATGTCAGTGACATTAAAACATTGTGTAACAGCCTTAGTTTTGTTACCTACTTTAAAATGATCAGTATTGTACAATAATATGTAGTACATACAATGTCAGTGACATTAAAACATTGTGTAACAGCCTTA